AGAATCCCCTCACTGATTACACTGTAAATGATAATCTACCTTAACCAAAATCAAAGTAGACTATCACTCACCCACACCAGATGGAAAACTCTACACACTGTCCATATATATATATATATATATATATATATATATATATATATATATATATATATATATACAGGGTAACCGGTGTTTGGGATAAGCTGAACGCCCGAACCTGAACGTCCGAACGTATGGGACCCCTTGGGGATGCGTTCGGTCGTTACGGTCGAACGCGGACCAAAAGCATGACATCCAAAATCCTTACCAAATTTGAAATAAAAATAAAACACGGAGAACAAATACTAATAATGGATGAGTGCTGGTTCGGACCGTACCTTTCACCGGCCTTTGTTTTACGCATTTTTGCGCCTGTGCATTTTTGGAGCTAGCAGGCCCGGTTGGTCGGTGCTTTGGGTCTTCGGAATGAGACTGATGGTATACCGATGCCCTATATGCTTGCCTTGGTAGTTTTTTAGCGTGAAGTAGTGAGACTATATTAGCATCAATGTCGTGTTGTTCAACAGGACTAATTTTCGGACCTGCGGACGGTCTCCGGAGACCTACCGCAACGAAGGACGGGAGAGGGTTGGAGCGGTTAGTTTCACTAGTGTGGGTACGAGGTGGAGAACCCCCTGATGAGATGGCGGCGTCCATCGAAATGCGTCGGGGACGCATTCCAGTGCAAATTCTTTCTATCTTTTGACGAAACATGTCAATGATGCTTCATATTCTTGCAGTATTGACGTCTTATGATGTTTGACTCTGCGATACCACCATTACTGTGTACTGCGCACGTTAACTTGCCTGGGGTTCAGCATAGCCGGGTGGAGTGAGCGTGTTTACTCTCATGTGACTGTTACTGTTACGGGGGACGAAGTAACAAGGAGGTGGAGCGCCACCAAGCGGACACTGCACGAAGAGATTACAAGATGTCGAATGCTGATCAACGAGACGGAGGGGTAGCCGGCGGGGGTGGACAGGATGACCGAAGGCGATATAGGCCTCCGACTTGTTTTGCATGCAACGAAGCTGGGCACTATGCGAATCAGTGCCCGAACCGTGCTCCGCGGCACCAACACCAATCTAGACCATCGACCTCGTCGGATTTACGAGGGTCTCGGTCGCCGAGGAGATATGACTCTCGAAGGACAAGGGACTCACCGGAGAGGGACTTGGGGATTAGGGCGACGGTGATGAAGTTGAGCAAGTCGGTTACAGCCATGCACAAGTATGTTGAGCAGCAGAACCTGAAGAAGGAGGAGAAGGAGCGTAGAAAGCGTGAAAAGAAGGAGGCAGCAGAACGGGAAGAAGCCGAGAAAGTGAGACAAGAGGAGAAGGAGGCACGTGCGACAGAGAAAGCTCGTAAGCGCGCAGAAGAGCAGAACAAAGTTGCGGACGCCGAAAGGGAGCGACGTGCGCAAATGAAGAAGGACGTTGATATTTCAGTTGCAGTCCGACTGAATGAGATGGAGGAAAGCTGGTTCCAGAGATTACATAGTATGATTGGACCGCTATACTCCACATCTGACAAGAAGGGCAAGAAGAAAGTTGCATATGTCTCGAGCCAGGAGTCTAGCGACGAGAGCGAGGCGAGTGACACGAGTGTCACGCAAGAATTGAGTGAGCGTACCTCGATGTTGCATATTTCCGAGAAGCGCAAACAGGGACCCGATGTTGAGATTGAGGACAACCCTCCGATGGAGAAACCGCCGAAGCGAACGCCGAAGCAGGGTGGACTAAAGCCTGTGAAACTAACTGCACGCATGACTCGGACGAAAGCACGGAGACTGTCTGGCAAGATGTAGTTGAGGAAGAACCCTGGGCGATCACCAACGGTCAGATCGCTAGTAAAAACGCCGGTATCCACGCGGAAGACGCCTAAGACGCCAAGGACCATTCGGGGAGCGTCACCACAGATGGCCCCTTTCACGCCTGTTACGCACGGGGCCTTGGAACGACTACGCTATCGAAACAAGATGATCGATGAGCTGAAAGCCCTTGATGTTGTCGAGCTGCAGAAGCGTTGCAAGGCGGAAGGGATACCCTGCAATGGGAAGATCGAGGCAGTCCTTGATATTGCCAATGTCAAGGTGTTGATAAGATTTGGGACAACAACACAGGGGGCAGACAATGTGATTTGCGTTGAGGAATCGGAAGACCGGGGAGGTAAGTCGGACCGCGATGCTCGACCAGATGAGGTTGTGGCTTGAGAATCCTTGGAGACGTCGAAGCTGTGGAAGCTTTGCAAGTACCTCACTGATTCGAGACGGGATTCGTATAAGGTTGACCCAAGAGTGGAGGAGCTTCTTTGCTTGGTAATCATGAGTTTGACTCTGGATGGGCACATCCGTTGGTTAGGTAAGTGCGTGAAGTGCTAGTTATGCCTGTATGATAAACACGGATTAGATTTTCTGAGGCTGTCTAACTGTGTATACATTGCGACCTCACCTTACTGTAAATAACTGTACGTCGGGAAGACTGCACGAACCACCGTAGTGAGATGGCGCGAGCACATCTACACCTGTCGGAAGAGGAAGCGGTCCCACTTCCATAGATGGATTAGCACTTTTGGAATTGAGAAGTATGTGCTTATTCCGATTGATATCCTCGAGGGTACAGATCTGGGTAGCTTGGAGAGGCTATACATAAACCAGTGGACACCATTTCTGAATACAGCCGGGAATCCTATGACAACCGGGAAGGGAAAAAGGAAACCGGGACGGAAGGAAAGAGCGGCCTTATATTGAAAACATGGGGAATCTAGCACTAGGAACGTGACATTTGTCCCCGTACGTAAGCGTTTGAATCGGAATGAACCTTGGGGTATTAACCTGTTCCGCGTGTTGGATGAGTGTCTGACAGCAGGGCGTACCGATGTACCTTGCGAGTTTGAGGCCGGGAACGCTTGTAGTGGTGGGTGGAAGAGTATCGTGAAGATCTTTGGCGAGACAAAAGTGATAGTCGAGTCTGGTGTCTGCAGGCTTAAAGAGTGCAAGTCTGAGTTTGAGCACGGGGGTATATTTCGTTTCTCCCATGTGTGTAAGTGGAAACCGAGGTGTGGTTACTTGAAAGGTGTCTTAATTCGGATCCTCCGCAATCCGCGACAGCTCAGTGAGGTGTATCGGTGGGGTAGTAAGTCCCTACTCGGACTGTACAGTGTTGTCAAGGATTTCTCCCGGAAGTCAACCAGGAAGTACTTGCGATGGTTGATCTCCCGAATTTTCCGAGACCGCTTTGATATCTGTATGGGTGCGGATCCTGTTTTTCACATTAGATTTGATGAACGGATTAGAATGTCAGAGTTACGCAAGGTAGTGAATGATTGCTTCATGTTGTGTGGGTTACCATCTTGTTACTATGAACGGACTCGGAGGAAAATCCGTATCGTGTGGGTGAAGAACCCATCCGTGGCGGAATTAGTACATAACCATCGCGACTTCGCGACCAGGAATGTACTCACCTGCACCTATGCAGGTTTGGAGGGCCACGTCCGCTTCCGTTTGAGCGAGCAGGAAGGTATTCACCCGCTCTTAAAGAATGCTAGGAATATACCATGAATCTTGGAGCGTGATCGGGCCGCTAAGCTTCAAACGGAGATCGCTGCGGGCTTTGATGCCTGTAGGAACTGCCGTAAGAAACCACAGTTGGTGTCCATCAGCGCGCTGCGTGGCTGTTTCGCCCAGGTTGAGCCTAGTAGAGTGGCTCTGTATGAACACCATGTGCTCGAGGTAAGGCGTCGTTTTGACGGATTAGTCCTCACTCCCCTGGATCGCAACCCTGGGGAAACCCTGGTCATATGTCCGACTGTGTTCTTTGAAGGTATGATGGACACTTTTGTTTTGAACCTGGGTTACAGGATTTGTTTAGTTTCGGAGGAGGAAACGCTGCGGGAGATGCGGGAAGATGTTACTGAGGTGGGGCTGGGTAAGTTCGCTCGATGGGACACGTCGGGATCGTTTGGATCGGCATATATCATTCCTAAGCACAAGGACTTGGGGAGATACAGGCTGATATGCCCCACGTTTAATGAGCCAATGGTTAGGACAGGGAGGGTTGTTTCTCGTGCACTTAACCACCTTTTGGCCACTATGCCGCGGAGTTGGCACTTTAACCTGCCCTCGGTATCGATATTGCCGCAGAAGTTACATGACGCGAATAGACAGATCTTGCGCCTGGGAAGGGGTACGAAGTGTCCTCCCACTCGTTCGACATTTAGGAGATGTTTAGTCGCCTTCCCCACGGCGACGTGTTGCGTGCAGTTGAGTGGGTCGTTGAGTTCCATTTGTCAAAAGATCGGACTTTCATTCGGGTAAACACGAGAGGGAAAGGCGCGTCTTTCGGCGTTACTACAGACGCTGACCACTGGCGTAAATTGAACCTCATTGAGATTCTGGCCTTTGTCAACTTGGAATTGAAGCATACCTATACCTTTGCGACTGGGGTGTTGTTACAGCAGGTGATCGGGATCCCGATGGGAAAAACGACCAGCCCTCCGTTGGCTGGAATCCTGTGCGCATATTCTGAGTATCTGTATCTTCGTAGTCTGGGGAGGTATGCCCGTTGTGTGTTTGGTTACTGCCTGGTTGATGATGTGATGTTCGTGACTGTGACCAAGGACCAACGACGGGCTGAGCGCCTGTTACTGGACTTTGAGGACTGTTACCCTGACGCATTGACCCTCAAGCGGACTGACGATGATAGTGGGACTTTGGATTTCTTGGGTTGCCAGATTCGGACGTCAAGGCATTTTCCCTTTTTGAATTGCATACAGATGTCGAAGAATGAAGAATACGTGTGGACCGGGGAACCCCTGAGAATTCAGAATGGACAGTCGTTCCTGTCATGGGGATGCAAAAGGCAGAAGAGTGCTGTGGTGAGTGGATATCTGCACCAGCTTGATCGAAATAAAACGATCCAATCTGAGATACCTGTGCGGGTCCTCACCTTGAAATAAGAGCTACTGAAGAAGGACTTTCCTGATCGTTTCTTCCATCGTGTCCTGAAGCACTTCGCAGTACGACGGGAGGATATTTGGCAATACACTGTTCATTTCTTGGAGTAGTGTTTTGGAGTGTTTTTTTGTATAACATTCTTAGTGGTTTCACGTTCCTGATTTGTTGGGTTTGGAAGTTGCGTGCAATGTTGAAGACGCATGCCTTCGAGCGGCTATCGCTCAGTGTTTTGACACTCGTGTAGGACCTGCTCGGGTGACTGGATCTGCACCAGTGATCTCTGCCCTGGAGTTCTGGTTTGGGGCTGTGTAGTTGTACTTTCAATTTTTTACCTTGGAAGGCAGGGTTCAACATTTGATTTGCACAGCGTTCTCTTTTCTGGTTTGATAACTTAGGATAGGGTATACCGTGTTTTGGGTATCGGATGTGTTTGGATATCGGATGGGTTTGAATTTGCACTAGAATGCGTCCCCGACGTGTTTCGATGGCCGCCGCCATCTCATCAGGGGGTTCTCCACCTCGTACCCACACTAGTCAAACTAACCGCTCCAACCCTCTCCTGTCCTTCGTTGCGGTAGGTCTCCGGAGACCGTCCGCAGGTCTGACCATTAGTCTTGTTGAACAACACGACATTGATGCTAATATAGTCTCACTACTTCACGCTAAAAAACTACCAAGGCAAGCATATAGGGCATCGGTATACCATCAGTCCCATTCCGAAGACCCAAAGCACCGACCAACCGGGCCTGCTAGCTCCAAAAATGCACAGGCGCAAAAATGCGTAAAGCAAAGGCCGATGAAAGGTACGGTCCGAACCAGCACTCATCCAATAGCCAAGCTCAGTATATGATGCTTCATGTTCTTGCAGTATTGACGTCTTATGATGTTTGACTCTGCCATACCACCATTACTGTGTACTGCGGACGTTAACTTGCCTGGGGTTCAGTATAGCCGTGTGGAGTGAGCGTGTTTACTCTCATGTGACTGTTACTGTTACGGGGGAAGAAGTAACAAGGAGGTGGAGCGCCACCAAGCAGGCACTGCACGAAGAGATTACAAGATGTCGAATGCTGATCAACGAGACGGAGGGGTAGCCGGCGGGGGTGTACACGATGACCGGAGGCGATATAGGCCTCCGACTTGTTTTGCATGCAACGAAGCTGGGCACTATGCGAATCAGTGCCCGAACCGTGCTCTGCGGCACCAACACCAATCTAGACCATCGACCTCGTCGGATTTACGAGGGTCTCGGTCACCGAGGAGATATGACGAAGGGACTCACCGGAGAGGGACTTGGGGATTAGGGTGACGGTGATGAAGTTGAGCAAGTCGGTTACAGCCATGCACGAGTATGTTGAGCAGCAGAACCTGAAGAAGGAGGAGAAGGAGCGTAGAAAGCGTGAAAAGAAGGAGGCAGCAGAATGGGAAGAAGCCGAGAAAGTGAGACAAGAAGAGAAGGAGGCACGTGCGACAGAGAAAGCTCGTAAGTGCGCGGAAGAGCAGAAGAAAGCTGCGGACGCTGAAAGGGAGCGACGTGCGCAAATGAAGAAGGACGTTGATATTTCAGTTGCATTCCGACTTATTGAGATGGAGGAAAGCTGGTTCTAGAGATTACATAGTATGATCGGACCGCTATACTCCACATCTAACAAGAAGGGCAAGAAGAAAGTTGCATATGTCTCGAGCCAGGAGTCTAGCGACGGGAGCGAGGCGAGTGACACGAGTGTCACGCAAGAATTGAGCGAGTGTACCTCGAAGTTGCAGATTTTCGAGAAGCGCAAACAGGGACCCGATGTTGAAATTGAGGACAACCCTCCGATGGAGAAACCGCCGAAGCGAACACCGAAGCAGGGTGGACTGAAGCCTGTGAAACTAACTGCACGCACTCGGACGAAAGCACGGAGACTGTCTGGCAAGATGTAGTTGAGGAAGAACCCTGGGCGATCACCGACGGTCAGATCGCCAGTAAAAACGCCGGTATCCACGCGGAAGACGCCTAAGACGCCAAGGACCATTCGGGGAGCGTCACCACAGATGGCCCCTTTCACGCCGTTTACGCGCGGGGCCTTGGAACGGCTACGCTATCGAAACAAGATGATCGATGCGCTGAAAGCCCTTGATGTTGTCGAGCTGCAGAAGTGTTGCAAGGCGGAAGGGATACCCTACAATGGGAAGATCGAGGCAGTCCTTGATATTGCCGATGTCAAGGTGTTGATAAGATTTGGGACAACAACACAGGGGGCAGACAATGTGATTTGCATTGAGGAATCGGAAGACCGGGGAGGTAAGTCGGACCGCGATGCTCGACCAGATGAGGTTGTGGCTTGAGAACGCTTGGAGACGCCGAAGCTGTGGAAGCTTTACAAGTACCTCACTGATTCGAGACGGGATTCGTATAAGGTTGACCCAAGAGTGGAGGAACTTCTTTGCTTGGTAATCCCGAGTTTGACTCTGGATGGGCACATCCGTTGGTTAGGTAAGTGTGTGAAGTGCTAGTTATGCCTGTATGATAAACACGGATTAGATTTTCTGAGACTGTCTAACTGTATATACATTGCGACCTCACCTTACTGTAAATAACTGTACGTAGGGAACACGAACCACCGTAGTGAGATGGCGCGAGCACATCTACACCTATCGGAAGAGGAAGCAGTCCCACTTCCATAGATGGATTAACACTTTTGGAATTGAGAAGTATGTGCTTATTCCGATTGATATCCTCGAGGGTACAAATCTGGGTAGCTTGGAGAGGTTATACATAAACCGGTGGACACCATTTCTGAATACAGTCGGAAATCCTAAGACAACCGGGAAGGGAAAAAGGAAACCGGGACCGAAGGAAAGAGCGGCCTTATATCACAAAGATGGGGAATCTAGCAGTAGGAACGTGACATTTGTCCATGTACGTATGCGTTTGAATCGGAATGAACCTTGGGGTATTAACCTGTTCCGCGTGTTGGATGAGTGTCTGACGGCAGGGCGTACCGATGTAGCTTGCGAGTTTGAGGCCAGGAACGCTTGGAGTGGTGGGTGGAAGAGTATCGTGAAGATCTTTGGCGAGACAAAAGTGATAGTGGAGTCTGGTGTTCACAGGCTTAAAGAGTGCAAGTCTGAGTTTGAGCACGGGGGTATATTCCGTTTCTCCCATGTGTGTAAGTGGAAACCGAGGTGTGGTTACTTGAAAGGTGTCTTAATTCGGATCCTCCGCTATCCGCGACAACTCAGTGAGGTGTATCGGTGGGGTATTAAGTCCCTACTCAGGCTGTACAATGTTGTCAAGGATTTCTCCCATAAGTCGACCAGGAAGTACTTGCGACGGTTGATCTCCCGAATTTTCCGGGACTGCTTTGATATCTGTATGGGTGCGGATGCTGTTTTTCGCATTAGATTTGATGAACGGATTAGAATGTCAGAGTTACACAAGGTAGTGAATGATTGCTTCATGTTGTTTGGGTTACCGTTTTGTTACTTAGAACGGACTAGAAGGAAAATCCGTATCGTGTGGGTGAAGAACCCATCCGTGGCGGAATTACTACATCTTTTGACGAAACATGTCAATGATGCTTCATGTTCTTGCAGTATTGACGTCTTATGATGTTTGACTCTGCGATACCACCATTACTACATTACTAATAATAAAATTATAAAAATAACAAAAAATAAAAAGAGAATTAAATTTAGTGAGTGTCAGAGCACGTTTTCAACACCGCCATCTTAAGCAATTTTTTATTTTTTTTTGCACAGCTAAATGATCTAAAATTCTACAGATGTATACTTCATATATTAGAAAACCCACTTAAAAATAATAATAAAATTGTTTAGATCCCGAACTAAAGTGAAAAAAAAAGTAAAAAGTGAAAAAAAACGTGGGCGAGCACGTTTTGACACCGCCATTTTTTGTGATTTTTAATTCTTAGTTCGCTGGGCTAAATAGCGTCAAAATTCATACGCGTGTACCTCGTATCATATAGAACTCATAAAAAACAATTAAGAAAAACGAGCTTATTTTTAGGTTCCGAATTTTTTTTTGGTGGGGGTGGCTCAAATAAAATTTCACTATATACGGGAATATGCTCGAACGCCGCCGCGTTCGGACACCGTACGGGACTCCAAACGCCCATACGTACAGAGGTCAGGCCTGGGGTCTCTGTACGTATGGGCTGGTAACCCTATTTATATATATATATATATATACAGGGTAACTGGCGTTCGGGACGGGCCGAACGCCCGAACGTGTGGGACCCTTGGGGATGCGTTCGGCCATTCAGGCCGAACGCGGCCCCAAAAAAAAAAAAAGTCATTAAAAAAATCTGAAAACAAGATATGTTATGGAGAAAAATAAATTAAACAAGATTTGCCTAAGCATTACATCTGAATTCCTTACCAAATTTGAAATAAGAATAAAATATCGAAAATAAATACTAATAATAAAAATAAATAAAAATAAAAAGAGAATTAAATTTAGTGAGTGTGCGAGCACGTTTTCGACACTGCGATCTTTGGCGATTTTTTTTTTTTTTTTTTGCGTAGCTAAATACCCTGAAAATTGCGATTTTCAATTCTTAGTTGGCTTAGCCAAATCACTTGAAAATTTACACGCATGTACCGCACGTCAGAGAGAACTTACAAAAATAATTCAGAAAAAAATAATGATTTTTAGGCCCCGAAATAATTTTTGGTGGGGGCCGAACGCCGTCGAGTTCGGACCCCGTACGGGACCCCGAACGCCCGTACGTACCGACGTCTGCCCGAGGACCTCCATACGTACGGGCTGGTGACTTTGTATATATATATATATATAGATATATAGATATATAGATATATAAATATATATAGATATATATATGTATATATATATATATCCCTCTCTGCCTACGGTTTACCTGGTAGTTCTGTTTGACGATATATATATATATAGGGTAACCGGCGTTCAGGACGGGCCGAACGACCAAACCCGAACGCCCGAACATATGGGACCCCTTGGGGATGCGTTGAACCGAAAAAAAAAAACAAAATAAAACAAAAACGTTCATTAGAAAAATCTGAAAAAAAGATATGTTATGGAGAAAAATAAATTAAAGAAGATTTGCCTGAGCATTACGTCCGAATTCCTCACCAAATTTGAGATACAAAATAAAATACACAGAACAAATACTAATAATAAAAATAAATAAAAATAAAAAGAGAATTAAATTTAGTGTGTGCGTGAGCATGTTTTCGACACCGCCATCTTTGGGGATTTTTTTTTTTTTTTTGGCATAGTTAAATGCCGTCAAAATTTACAGATGTGTACTTCACATAATACAAAACCCACTTAAAAAATTTAAAAAAATAATAAAATTATTTAGACCCTGAACTAAAGTGAAAACAAAAAGTAAAAAGTGAAAAAAAGCATGGGCGAGCACGTTTTGACACGGTTATCTTTGGCGATTTTTAATTCTTATTTGGTGGAGCCAAATGACTTGAAAATTTATAGGCCTGTACCTCACGTCATAGAAGACTCATAAAAGAACATTTAGCAAAAAAAAAATTATTTTTAGGCACCGAAATAGTTTTTGGCGGGGGCCGAACGCCGTCGGGTTCGGGCCCCGTACGGGACCCCAAACGCCCGAACGTACGGAGGTCCGCCCGGGGACCTCCATACGTACGGGCTGGTAAACCTGTATATATTTATATATATATATATATATATATGTATATATATACGTATATATATATATATATATATATACAGAATCACCAGCCCGTACGTACGGAGGTCCCCGGGCAGACCTCGGTACGTACGGGCGTTCGGGGTCCAGTACGGGGTCCGAACCCGACAGCGTTCGGCCCCCGCCAAAAATTATTTCGGGGCCTAAAAATCATTATTTTTTTCTGAATTGTTTTTCGTAAAATCTATATGACGTGACATACATGCCTGTAAAGTCTCAAGTCATTTGGCGAAGCCAAATAAGAATTAAAAATTGCTGAAGATTGTGGTGTCAAAACGTGCTCGCCCACATATTTTTTCACTTTTCACTTTTTATTTTCACTTTAGTTCGGGGTCTAAACGTGCTCGCCCACGTATTTTTTCACTTTTTACTTTTAGTTTTCACTTCAGTTCGGGCTCTTAGCAATTTTATTATTTTTGGAAAGTTTTTAAGTAGGTTTTGTATTATGTGAAGTACACATCTGTAAATTTTCAGGGCATTTAGCTATGCCAAAAAAAAAAGAAAAGTCGCCAAAGATGGTGGTATCAAAAACGTGCTCGCGCACTCACTAAATTTAATTCTCTTTTTATTTTTATTTATTTTTATTTATTTTTATTATTTGTATTTATTTGTCGTATTTTATTTTTATTTCAAATTTGGTAAGAAATTTAGATGTAATGCTGAGGCCAATCTTATTTAATTTATTTTTCTCCATAACATATCTTTTCTAAAGATTTTTTTGATGATGTTTTTTTTTTTTTTTTTTTTTTTTT